AAAATATTTTTTCCAATTACTCAATAAATAATTCTTATTTTTTAATTTTTTGCTATAAAAGTTATAATTGTTATATAAAATATTAACGTTGTATATAAAATATTAACATATTAGCGTTCCGTTGCCTTAAAAATAATCTTTAATCTAAAGATCTTAGATCTAAAAATCTTAGGTTTATATTTATAGTATGGAGCTTTCAAGAGATCAATAGAAATAGTCATATTTAATTTGCCACGCCCCCAGTGAGCATACATATGTCCACTATATACATATTCGTATGTATTTTGTGCCTTGGGCCAACTTTAACTTTAAAGTATCTACATTTTTCAGTCGTAGAGTGTCTGCTGTATCAGTTATAATAAAGATTTTCCCGCAGTGCCACGCCCCATCAAAAGCTAAGAACGAGATACCAGCAAGCACATAATCGAAATTTAAAGTCTCTAGTTCAAATGGCAATAGCATAGAGCGAGACGGTGTCAAAGACAGACGCGGAGACGGAAGGAGAAACGTATAGCGGACCAACGGACGGACAGACGGACGGACGAACAGATTTCAGCCGCTCCTTTCTTAGGGCTCCTCCCCAAACTGAATGCCAGCCTCTGCCTCAGGCTCTTTCGTCTGCCTAACTCTTTAGTATTCATGTCCTTGCCTATCTAACACAATCTGTCCATGTTTCTATAATTATTTATTTATCTGTCTACCTTTTTCTATCAATCGTTGCCTTATCTAGCTCACCTTGGCTCCGCTGCTCTAAGGTTTGTTTTAAGAGCTTAAGACGGACGACTTTAATGTTGTTTTATTTTTATTTTATCTGATTTTCTTCATTTCTTCTTCCATTGCTGTTTGTTTTGTTTTTGTTATGAATAAAATCTACTTTTGTTGCTGTGCAATTTTCGGTTCTGTACACTCGCCTTTTGCAATTTGGCTAACGAAATTTTGGCCGTGTGGCCAAAGTGCTTAAAAATTCGAAATTCAATCAATCCGATGCTTTGTGTTTTTCAGTCTGCTTGCCTTCTATAGTGCAGCCGCCCCGCCCGCTTGCCACGCCCACTTTTTTCATTCCGTTGTTATTAATATTGTTGTGTTTTTTTTTCATTCTTTCTATTGCTGTTTTTGTTGTTGTTGTTGTTGTTGTGCTGCAATTGTATCAGCCACGTTCTTTGTTAAACAAAAACCAAGTCAAAAAACAAAGAGAGATGCAGAGCAGGAGGCTGGGGTGGGCCTGGCCACGGCGCAAAGGTAAATACATTGAGCCAAAAGCCAAGGGCCGCTTAACCTGTAGCAAGAAAATTAAAAAAAAAAGAAAGAAAAAAAAAACACGCAGTAGAAGAAACGAAAAAAAAAAGTGAAGAACACACACAAACACAGAGAGAAAGAGAATAGCGAGCGGAGCATGAAGGAGTGGCTGCTGCTGGCTGCGCTCGTCAGATCTAACGCCTTGCAGCCCTTAGCTGTTTGCGGTGTTCACTTTTCCATTTTCCATTTTCCAGTTTGCGCTGTGCGTTTTTCTGTGTTGCCGGGCTTTTTGGCGCTTTGTGTGTGCAACGCGGCGTATGAGCGACACGACCCAGCCAGCGGACCCTGAAAGAGGTATGAAGGTAGTGCGCTATACGGCTACGGCTACGGCAATACGGCAATACGGCAACATGGCAACACGGCTACACGGTTGTGGCAGAGCCTTATGCTACGCCAAACATGGCCACGAACAAGGCGTCGCGCGATTTGCATGCCATGAGACGCTACCCGCACCACCCACACCACCCACACCACCACCAGCACCACCCGTGCCGCGAAAAACTCAGAGCCGGCGGTTGGTCATGACAAGGGCAACGCGCAAATCTGCCAGCGGCGCTAAGCTAACGGCGGCCAGGATGGGAACCCTCCCGAAACTCGTACTGCTCCAAGGCGAAGCAAAATGTGGTAATAATTCTTGTTACGCATCTGACGTGCTACGCGCCCGAAACCTGAATCCTCGCCAGCTACTCCTACCTACTGCTAGAGCGACTTAGCCCGGCGATTGGCGACTGGCGACTGGCGCCTGGTAGCCAAAAGTGCTTAGCTAGGAGGTGAGCAAGCTCAAGTGGAAAGTGCACAGTCCCCAGAGACACTAAATGTGGAGATATGGATATGAATAGATATGGGCATGGACGTGGGCATTGGTATGGGTAGAGGTATAGTTATGGGTGTAGGGCTACGTATAGGTACAATGGGAATGAAGTTGGGTCTCACATTAGATATACGTAGAGGTATAGATATTGATGTACTTTGATATAGAATAGATATAAGTGTGCATTATATCAGGATCATCTCATGACCAAGATATGGGATAAGGATGAATGGGTATACGTAGAGGTATAAGTATAAGAAGAGGTATGGATATACATAGGTATAGGTATGGATATAGGTATGGATATAGGTATGGGTATAGGTATGGGTATAGGTATAGGTATAGGTATAGGTATAGGTATAGGTATAGGTATAGGTATAGGTATAGGTATAGGTATAGGTATAGGTATATGTATAGGTATATGTATAGGTATAGGTATAGGTATAGGTATAGGTATAGGTATAGGTATAGGTATAAGTATAGGTATAGATATGGATACAGGGATAGGTCGTCTATATATCTACATATTATGTATTTGAATATATGCATATTTATATGTATCGGATCTATGCAAACTATATATGTATGGATATACATATAACAAGTGCTACAGAAAACTCTAAACAAACGCTCTGGGCTCTGTATAAGGTATCCATACATATATCTAGAGTAAACCTAGCTGCCATCTATTTATCTTATTTATATCTAGCTAGCATACCCTTAACATGCAATGGGTACAGGGTATCACAAGTCAAATGCTACGTAAAACCGAGCAAAAATCAACAGCAACAGCAGAAACAACAACAACAACAACGATAACGGCTGCAGCACTAATAAAACAAGGAAGCACCAGCGCGTGTTAAGGATAACATGTTGTTAATCCCCGTGAGATAAAGAGCAGCAATATCCTTGACACAGAGCACCCAGCAACCAGACAAAAGAGCCAGGCGCCACAAAATGTGGCAAAGCTGCAGCTAAATATGTAAATGCAACTGAAACTGCGAGCAGAGCTGAGAGAGGAAAATTAAAAGAAAATATATATAAAATTGTTATACACGTATATAGTAATTCGATGTAAAAAATATTTATATTATATAATACCATCGATAGTCAACTGTAGTAAAATGATAAGTGTTAACAACACCTCCTCAAGAAAAAAGACACAATCATTATTTTTATTTTTTTTATTTTTTTTTATATATACATACATATATAGATTAATACATATATAACTATATAAAGAAAATTTAATCAATTTAAAACTAAGTCATGTTCACGTTTTCATCTCTCTATATATCAGTCTCTCTCTCTCTCTCTCACACACACACACTTTCCCTCACAATCTGTTGGCCAAACTTATCTCTTTAGCTCTTGCTTATTTCAATTGCTGCCAGCATATCTTTGACATTTTCTTTAATGGTATATCTTACGCTCTCTCTCCCTCTCTCTCTGTCTCTCTCTTTGTCGTGTTTTGGCGTGGCATATTGGCCCAGTTCTTGGTTGAGTTGTAAGCCTTGGCTGAGCGCCTTGCCGGCAGTTCGACAAGCAGCTCACGAGTCGCGATGAAGCCAAATGCAATTGCCACATGCGCACGGCTTGTGGATCGCTAGTGTTTCACTTTGGAAAAAAAAGGAAAACAACACACACACACACACACGCACACACATAAACAAGAAAAATGTGTAACAACAACAATGACAGCAACGGCAGCCGGAGGAACATTAAACCGAGATTATGCAAATCAAAAGCTGCTTCGTGGGGGCTGCACCGCTTGTTTGCAGGCGACAAATGCAATTGCAAAAGCCCAACCGCAAAGCCAGCCCGACCGCACCACCTGCACCAGCCGCGCACCAGCCGCGCACCACCCGCAGCAACGCACTTCACTTCACTTTCACTCACATATAACATCAACATTGACTTGCATGTGTGCTCATGCATATGCATGCCAGTGTGTGTGTGTCGCTGTGTGTGTGTGGGTGGGTGGATGGGTGTATTTGTTTATG